ATTTAAATTATTGAACCCAGAAATTATTGGTGGGGTCAGGTAATAAGGCATATAGCGCCACTATTAATGGCGCTATGTAAGGTTTGTCAGTATAACGCCACTAATAGTGGCGCTATACAGTAACGGTACAGTTAACGTTATTTTATAACGCCATTATTAGTGGCGTTATATATAGTTTGGTAACTTTTTTTTTACACTTATTTGAGTATTTTGAGTAAAAATAAACCATATTTTGGTTCCGCACTCTCTAAAATAGTGCTCAAGCGCATGAAGAGGAGCTAAAAACTTGAAAATATCTTATAAATAGGATAATATGCTTGTGACATTAATATTGGAAGCAGAGCCAACTTGGAACTTGGAAGAGTGAAATTGAAAATGTGGTTCAAACTTTACCAAATCTTTTCCATTTTTTTGGCAAAAACAGGTGTGTTTATTGATTTTATCCATATTTTGACAAATCTCTAAATCCCAAAATAAGCTCAAGAGCTGTTTTTGGTCAAAAATATTACCGTTTTGTTTATAAAAAAAAGTACAAAAATTCCCTAAAATTTTGTATTTTATAAAAAAAGCCCATTTTCTGTTATTACGACCCAATTAATCCATATCTATCCACTTTTCCCTCATTAAACTCGTGCGGCATTGCCCTCCTCTATAAACAAAAGGAAACCTTCGCCCAAGTTGTTGTGTCAATATGTGGCAATCCACTTTAAAACTTATGAGTATATGTCGCATTTCATGATTTTTCCAAAAAAAGGTGAAATATATTTTGAAATATTATGTCCAAACAGATTTTCACCTTCAAATCAAACTTCACCCAAATTAAATTTTTTAAAATAAATTTGAAAATCTACTGTCAAACGCTAGCTTAGAGTCTTTGTCCTCGAAGGATTTTTCGTTCATTGGTGAGTTGAGATCGTAGCCTCAACTTTGGGGTTATTGGCCTCATAAGTCTAGTAAATGTCTTATTTGTGGGCAAGCTTGTATTTTTTGCATATTTTCGAACGAGCTATAAATTATAACTTGTGATGAAGTTCAATTTTTGTATAATTTTCTATAAATGTCTAGAGATTTTTTTTTTAAAATATATAAACATTCCTTGTCTATACTATATTAAAAGCACGAAGTTCTTTAGCGAAATGCCGTTCGCCTTTTTTATTTACCCGTTAAAAATAGATTTCACACTAAACAAAATTGTCATTTAATTATTACTCTAATTTTTAGAGTTTTGAAATTGACTAAAATATTTCTTAGTTAATTTTTCATTATTTGAATTATATAGAAAGTCAATCGATATATTACCTTATTTAAATTCTTAACTAATATGAACTAGGTAACATAACTATTATAATACCTTGACTACTTATTCTAATGCTTAAAACCCTAGGCACGAAGAGTAATCGTCAATATATCTTCATTCTATAACTTATGAAGCTATGGTATGTGAAGCTATTTTAGACCTGATCAAAATTAATATTATAGCAACACCATTAAATACTACACAAGCTCCGATTTCTTTAATAGTCTTTAGTCAACGAGGAATTATAGTTCTACTCTTTTTTATTCATGAATATATAATATTATTGATTTATTGTACATATGTGCTTGATGAGATAATTGAAAGAATTAACTAAATCAACTTATTTCTGCAATGGTGTATGTTTTAATTTGATTATTTGACGCATTGATTATAGGAGTCTGATTCAGTGAAGATGTCCTACAAGTTCATACATGTATTTTACGCATGGTATAGAATTATAAAAAAGTTACTACTTAATTATTAAGAGAATTTGTTTGAAGGAGTAAAACTTTGTAAGTGCATTTTTTTGTTAATTCCGTAGGCAGATTATTAAGTCAAAAGAAGATTCTTACGAAAATAAACTGAACGCTTAAAAGTTGGAAGCATTTGTTGAAACCAATAAAATAATAGGCTATCAAATCATAGACGAGATATATATCATTGATTGTTCATCATGTCAAAAATACAAAATACAGAAGCCATAAATTAGTTAAATAACCACTACTTCATTCAACTCCCTGAGAATGTTAAGATGTTTAGATAATTTAATATCTATTGTATAACTCGAAAAAAAATTCTAGATATGTATGCAATAAAAACTTTATAATTTTTAGATACTAATTTTGTAATGCTAGTCAAATAAGTTAAATTACACGTGCAACGCATGTACGCTAAATCTATTGCACTTATATACAAGGTTAATGCATTATTCGTAGTAAGTGTATAATAATATATAAAGATGTATATAAATTATTGTAAAATAAATATTGGCAATATGGATAAGTAGTAAGTGTATAATAATATATAAAGATGTATATAAATTATTGTAAAATAAATATTGGCAATATGGATAAGTAGTAAGTGTATAATAATATATAAAGATGTATATAAATTATTGTAAAATAAATATTGGCAATATGGATAAGTAGTAAGTGTATAATAATATATAAAGATGTATATAAATTATTGTAAAATAAATATTGGCAATATGGATAAGAAGCGAAAAACGTGATCACATTAATAGGGTGACAAATGGGCGGTTTGGGCTGAATTTAGGCGGATTAAGATGGGTGGAGTCAATAAATGGGTCATTGCTCAACTCAGCCCAAAGCGTACTTGGGTTAAGATGGACAGGGTCAATATGGGCTAAACAATGAGTCATAGCCCAACCTGCCCAACTTGACCCGCGTTTTAGAAACATGTTCATCTTGCATAAACAAAACCTTTTACCTTTGGGAAAATTACCATCTATGTCCATTTATAAGTAGCTCATTACAAAAATTGGCCAATTGATAAAATATTACTAATATTATCCAAATTAGCCAATTAGCTATTTGTAGGGAAAAAAAATCAAATTTTTGCTTTGTTTTGAGTGGGTGCTATTAGAATAGATTGGGCACAACTTAAGGAGCTTGAATCTAAGTTTTGGGATGATTTGATGAAGTTTTGAGGTGGTTTGAATTGAAAATTCGAAGTAAAAACTGAACATGAAAAAATGATATGTGTATCACACTGTGTATCATTTGTGTATCACATATGTATCATATTTGTATCAATTATGTATCACATGTATATCCATGTATACCTGTGGTGAGATACATGCGTGATACATGTTTGATACATGTGTCGCAGAAAACTTTTTTGAACTTGATTTAGTTACGAATTTTGATACAAAACCAGTCCAAATTACCTCC